GCAAGTCTGAAAGTACAATTCTCCCGCCATCTTTTTTTACAGCCTGATAAGTTAGGGCAGATCCTTTCTAAGTGCTTTCTGTGCCCGTTACTCAGCTGTGGGCTCCTCCCCCTTTTATCTGATTGTTCCCTAGGCAGCGTCTCTTCCTCTTGCCTCTCAAGATCATTCCCACATACCATTACATGAAGCCTTCCTTTCCCCACCACCTTTTTCATTTGAAGCCCAAGGCATTATCAGCGGTGCTGAAAAGTTTGGAGGTGGGGAGGGGCAGGAGGCTGGTTGGATATAGCACATTTGTAGCCTTCCTTTCCCTATCTCCCCTTAGCTGATGCCCCTTAACTAATATTCTTGATTTATTCCCACTTTTCCCCACTACAACGCTTCTTCCCAGGACAGACATTCTGATTTGGGTGTGGACCACCAGCCGGTATTGTTCTGTGGATGGAACTGTTTGTGCACAGAACGCTTTGTACATCCCCAGTATTCCGCCGGAAGTTGTTTCAGAACACCTGGGAGGCCACATTCTCTGTGTAAGCCTTGTCTTGTAACCCGAAAGGTTTGGCCCAATTCTTTATGCAAAGCAAGTGCATTGGAAGTTCAGGGTAGGTTCTCCAGTGCGGTTGCCTCAAGGCCAGGGAGCATATAACTAATTCTCCTTGGCCACCTGGAGAAATGGTAAGAATCACCTTCCCCCCCACCCCAATTTTTGGCCACTGACTTGTAATTAGAAGTGGGATATAATTTTAACATTAACCCATATTTAGTATATAATTGAAACCCTTCTGTTTCATGGATTCCAGTTTTTACAAACACTGCAGCTGAAGACCTATGGAAGTAAGATCTGTGCTCTATGCCCTTGGGTTTACCATAAGTCGTAAGGCTTTATTTACTGTTCATTTTGCTTATTACCGCTATAAAAACTTTCCATCGTGTGTGTGCGTGCGCGTGTATGTGCCTGAGTGTGTGAGAGAGAGACCCATATTCAGATACAGACACACGAAAGCAGCATACTTGGTATTTCTCTGTCGTTTACTTGCCCTGCAGTCTTATGTAATTAGTATATACAATTAGAATTTAGGGTATAATTATATGTAATTAGGAGATCTTATGTTGCGGTTTTATATTGTGGTTCTGTGATAAATAAATAACCCCCCACCCCAACCCTAACCTAGCAGCTAAAAAGCATTTGCACGCAGGCGCATGTTTGGTGGCATATTCAGCCAGCTGGGGTCATGGTGACTCACCCGTTGTTCTCTTTTTCTCTCCCCTCCAGCTTAGCTTTTACACTGGGGCATTGCCAGAGTGCTGATGGAAGCTGATTCGTGGTGATCACCATGCCTGGCAGGCTGTCAGTTAATAATTGCCACATGATTAAAATGTGTGAAATTGTTTGTTGATCTAGGGCAGCATTTCTATATGTTGGTATGCACTAGTTCTTCTGTGTGACGCTTAATTTGTATAGGAGGGATTTTTTATTTTTTTTGGTTTCCTTCAGTGTGAGTGTTGAGTCATTAGGCGCTGTTGCCTGGCAGAATTAGTAAATGATGCTGGGTTAATAAAAGTAGTTAGAAGTAATGGGAACATATTGGGTGGATTAGGAAAAAGTCCACGATTTAAATAGTAGATTTTTTGTTAAATGATGTCCAGCCTAAGAAGCCGCACCAGCTAAAGGCTGGAGCCTAGTGGGATTTTTCTGCTGAAGGTGCTGCAAAAATAAAGAGAAGAATGAAATAACATTATACTGGATCTTGAATTAAAACAGATTCAGGCCTATGTATATCCTTTACAATAAACCTTGATTTATTAGGAAGGAACCTAGTAAAGGTTCAGGGACGCGCATTCCTTTTTATTCTCTTCTTTTGACATAACTAAGAGGATCATTTCAGCGTTTCCTTTTTAAAAGCAAAGCAGATGTGGCTTCTTGTTCCATCTGCAATTACTCCAAGCTGGGATATTTTAAAACAAATAGCTTTATAATCCATGGTTTACCGTGCATTCCAAATGCAGCTGATGTGAACTCAGCACAATGGATGCCGCGCATTGCCACGTGCTAGTTCAGCAGTGGTTGCAAAGGAAAAAAAGTTTTTGTTTTTGCTTTTTTGGAGAGTGGTGGTGACGAAAGGTATTGATCCATTAACTCTATCAGGGGTAGAAAAGTTCCTCATCAGTATATAGCCTTTGCACTATAAAATAGTAACTGTCTCAAGCAAGATGAACAGCTGGGCTCATCTGTAAGTTGACATTTCTTGGAGAAACTGGAGAGCTTCAAAGCAAATCTAAAAATATAGTCAGGCAACTCATGCCTCCTGATCTCAGTGTTATCTGAGAGGACCTTTTCATTCTGCATCTATAACTTCTCAGAGGCTTTCTAGACGACGCAATTGAGACCTGAACTGATTTTTTTCAAATGCTCACCAGCTTCCACACTAACCAAGTTGTCATACTGCATATAAGTCATAATTTATCTTAACAATCAGTTTTTGAACAAGCCACAAGGTTTGGATTCACATACTTAACCATAAATCATCCTTTATAAGCCACTGGGGCTGGCTTAACCCAACAAGCTAGGTCAAACCTGAGAGATCACATGACAGTTTACGATGTTGGACTTTAATGGAAAAAGTACTGTGAGGAATGTATGTACAGTTTTAGGGGGGGGCTCGTGTTACCCTTTGTCACGGACAGCAGCTCCTCTTCCTCCTGATGTTTGTCTTGTCTGTTTCCAGCATAAGACAACGATGGCTCTGCTTCTGGTGCTGACATGGGGGTGAGATTATTGGTGTGGATCTCTGGCGTGTTTTGAAGCTTTGAACAAGGCACCTGGATGCTCCCTGCTTTTCTCTAACTGCTAGCAAAGTGTTTCTGTGATAGGAGGCGGAAGTTGCTGGCGTGGGATTTTCTGCATGCTTCTGAAAAAGAGATTTCTTGCTATTTGACTGATTGCTGTGTGATCTTTGCTCTATCGGTGCTGCTCTTGCCTTTTTTTGTGTGAAAGTGGCTGGCTTTTCTGCCAGATGTTGCATACACTTGACCAGTTCCACAAAAGGATAGGCCTTCCCAAAGCAAAATTGACTACTTTTGTATTATCTCTGGTTCCTATTAAGCTTAATTTTAACTTCAGAAAAATGAAGGTTTTTTTAAAAATACAGTTATCTGCTGGATGCTTGTTCATCTGCTCTCAGTTCACCTCTGACCTTGCCATTAGATTTTCTATTTATTATTAATTAGAAAGTCGTATATTAAAAAAAAAAACTTTCATGGAGTGATATTGGCTCATGCATTGTTTAGATGGGCCATTCAGTAAGGAAATCAAACCTGGCAATACCACAGTTATTGGAAACTCCCTTCTGATCTAGATCAGAATTTTCCTGTTTATGTAAAGTTAGCAGGCACAGATATTTCTCCAAAGAAATGTAATATCTGTTTTTGATTTACAGAAATTCAAAGCCACTTGCATGAAAGTTCTTCCCTTCCTTGGCTATATGAAGCGCTCAGTCGAAACTCCTCATCTGAGCTTCTGACACTGTCACTTATTTTGATTTCTTTTTTAACATATACAAGTGGGGCTAGATTGGTTTTTGTCAGTTTCTATCCTTGCAAATATTCGGGAAAAAAATATTTAGTGATAATCAGTTCTTATACAGTCTTGGATGTGTCACTTCCACGAAAAAAACTTTAAAAAAAAGTCACCCCTTCTCCCTAAATTACATTAAAAGGGCACTTTTTCATAAGATGAGTGCACCATTTTGGAGGACAGTAGATAGAAATTAGGTGTCTTGGCATCCAGAGCTCACTTTCTGCTAAGAAAATGTAGAACTAAACCAAATGTTTAATAACAACACCTAAACATCTTTATTTTATTTATTATCAGCTTTGGCACCCAACTTAGATTACCTTTCTGTGCATGAATCACACCAGGGCCGTTCTCCTGGAACGGAAGGTGTCAGGAAATTATTTCAGTTGTGGATCCATAGCCTTGAGTTTTCTTCTGGGAAACCGGCCAAGACTGGCTGCCTTGCAGTCTTGAGTTTTGATAATTGTTCTGTTTTGTAACATCCTTTGTGACGGCTGTTTTCCTTTATTTCTAATGGATTTTTAGATCTGTATGCTGAGGTGTGCTAATCACTTGGTGGTTATACTACTGTCCTTTTGAGAAGCAAACCACCATTGAAAACCTTTGTTTTTGAATATGACATGTAAATGATGAACATTGAAATGAATACCTAGCCACGCCTGTTTTAAGTGGTTCTTTACAATCTTTACATTTTATATTTGTTTCTACGTTGTTGGTTTGGGGGCCTGATGACATCTTATCAGGAGTATGTCCCCAGAAAGGAGGCAGAATCTACCACCAAGATGAGTTTTAGAAGCCTGATTCCCACAAGATACTTAAATATCTACTTCTGTTTACCTCAAATGTTTAGGATTTTTGGAGAGGATTTAAATTGGGAGACTTTATATAACACAAAGGCCTCTATTTCTGCTAGTCTGAGAATTTGGGGGTAGATAGAAAATTCAAGCCTTCCCCCTTTATTTTGACAGATAGGTATTAAAAATTCCTATTTAAATATATAGAACTCTAGTGTTACTATATGCATGTTGTGAATCTGTTTCTTTTGGATTCTTCATAGGACCAGCAGTGGGGAAGCGGCTTCAAAAGGTTTTCAAACCACAATCCTACTGCAAAGCTAGAACCAGGACTCTTGACGAGTCCAAGAGACAATGAACTGCAAAAGGCCCTTAAGAAACACAGTTTGCAACTAGCTGAGTTCTCCAAGGAAATTGCAGTGTCTGGAACTGATGATGTCTTAACAGGTGAACCAGAGATTAAACCCCTGAACAGTGTCCAAAGTCATGTCTCCAGCCAACTACAGTCACACCCTGTTAATGCCTTGGATTCTAGAGCCAATTTTTATGTTCCCTTGGACACACATCTCATAGAACTGAAAGGTGCCTCAAAGGCACCCAAAAGAGGGGACATGAGTATATCAGCCCAGTTGGATCTCACTGAGAGCAGCACATCTGTAGAAGCTGCCAAGCAAATTACTTCTATCACTTTTGCATCTCGTAGGAGGTCACCTTCTCCTGCTTCCCATGTGCCCCGGGCTGGCCTTGCTGAAGCTGACTCTCGTGATCCCCTATCTTTGGAAACCCAGCTTAGGAGCCATGAGGAGCAGAAGCTTGATAAACTGCAGCTGGAAAGTTACAACACTTGCAATTCAGCAAGCCTAACGTCTCCTTATACACTAGGGAAGAACGTTGGATTTTCTTCCCAAAGAATCTGTCCTCCATCTGTGTCTATCACGGTCACCAGTGATGAATCTCATCAAGAAAATGCTGCTGCTTCCATGGAGAAATCCCCAAGCAGTGGTGTTGTACAGAAGGACCTTGTTGCACAGAGCAATGAGGAAAAGCAGGGTTCTTCTCTAGTTCTTGCTGAGCAGAAGAGGTACGATAAGCCCATGGATAATATTCATGATAACAGATCTAACCCGGAAAGAACTGTGACTGTGGTAAGCCAACCTCCACAAAAGACAAGTGATGTGCGTTCCCAGGATTGCTTGGTGGATGGTGTGGGAAGCTTTGGCCACATTCCTAAGCCACTTTTTCCTGAAGGCAAAGAGAGTATGTGGATGAGAAAAGGTCAATATACTTCTGATTCATATTCATGCAAGGCCAGAAGTAGAGACATGGGGAATACTAGTCTGTTACGCTCTTCTTCCCCAGACCAAATTTCAACAGCCGTGCCAGTGTCTCCTTCATCGCCAGCCAGAAAAGCCCTCTCTGGGGTCCACATTACTCTCTCTCCAAAGCTTGTGGATTTGGATCTTCCAGGCCCAGGGGACATTGGACCAGAAGGGAGAGAAATTGAGGGCTTTAAGGATGCTGTTAAGCCAGCAACTTCAGAAGCTCCCAGTCTTTTCTTAGAAGCTACCTCCAAGTTAAAGCCCACAGAACTTAATCCAAAGACCCAAGAATCATCACACTTCTCAAAAGAGGCATCATTACATGATGTTCCAGGGGGGGCTATACCAACCCTACAGCAAAGTCAAGAGTCCCTGGGAAGCCAAGAGCGTGTGCCAGTCCCAGCTCAAGCAAATACTAGGGCTCGGAGTTCAAATGTATTGAGTCTAGGTGATAACTTAAAGACGACAGCTTCTTCCCAAACAGAAAGGATGTCATCAGATGCCATCACTCAAATAACAACAGAAAGCCCTGAGAAAACCACCTATTCTGCAGAAATATTTGTTAATGCTGAGAACGGTGAGGTTTCGCATCAGAAGAGTCATAAAATCCCCAGCAACACAATTCACAGTATCCCCAAGATCTCCATTTTGAATAGACAGGCTGGTGAGAAATTTTTTTTTTTTTTCCTTTTGAAAGAGTGGTAGAATGGTCTGAAGAACAATATTAGTGGGTGGGGCTAACGTTCAGGGCCTTCTTCCAAAAAGCTGCAAACACTGATAGTGTGTATCCAGGCTTATTAACAAGAATTCTCTATTTGAGCAATGAAATAATTAAATACTGGACATTATTGGATTCAAACAAGCAAAAGGCTGTTTGGTTTTATTTTGACAAATGTAGGAGTGAGTATTCTTTCTATCCCCTAAGTAACTACTAATCTATGCCAGTATTTCTCAACCTTGACAAGTTTAAGTTGTGTGGACTTCAACTCCCAGAATTCCCCAGCCAGCATGCTGGCTGGGGAATTCTGGAAGGTGAAGTCCCTATGCCTTTGCCAAGGTTGAGAAACGGTGATCTATGCAACGGTGATCTAAAAACATTTGTTCTTCCCAATCCCCCTGCTACTATTGTATTTGTTCAAGGAAAGTAAAAGAGTGGCTTATGTAAGTTCACAGCGAACCCACAATTTGGGCTCAAGGCAACCTGATAGGTTTGGCAGGGAGGGAAAATGAATAGTGGACCGTCATTCCACAGCTGAAATTCACCATTCTGGGGGGGTTGGGGCATTCAGCCACTTAATCGTGGCCACTTCTGTCTTTTGAGCGCTTAGGTCTCCATCTGCCTAGGAAAGCTTATTCCTGGTTGCTTGCTTAAGCATTCACTTTCAGAGTCTGAAGACAAACAGGGACCAGCTGCTTTCATATGTATTCCTTCCAATCGACAGAGTTCTTGCAAGGCACTTTGCTAAACTAAACCCATCTCCAGAACTCACCAGAGAGAGGAGTGTTAAAAACCTAATTCAATTCCCCCTTCGCTTCCGAACCTGTCCTTTGCTGAACTTTGTATTTGTTGTTCTCAGCTTGTGAGCTCCTTGGGACTCACAGGCTGCTTATAAATGCAGCAAAGCTGTTCCTCTCGTCCCCAGCCACCTCCAGTCTACTGTAACCTTTGGACTCTGCTGGAACCAACCTGAATAAGCAGCTCCAGCATCTCTTCTCTTCGGGGTCCAGCTATAATAATGCAAGCTGGCTTACGCTTTGAAGTCAAAACTCTGCCTGCAGCCTGCACCTTATGGATGGTTCAGAGGGCCATCTGCGTGCAGTAGCTTAGTTAAAAGGTGGCTTCTTGGGGGGAAACAACAGGGCCTTGTAGTCAGTTGCAGGAATGAAAAGCTTCCTAGGTATTCTGCACTGCAACACTTTGTTTGCAAAGCCTTGCGGTTGAGTGATGCACAGTAAGCCGACTCCTGCTTTGTCTTGTCTTCAGATCGGCCATTGGTGCTGCCATATAAACCTCCTGGTTGCTCAGAGATGTATTACGTTCCCTGTCCAAAAGAAACCCTCAGGCTATCGCGTGTCAGGTCCGAGACTACCATGGAGAGCTCCCACTCAGGTATTTTTTTCCTTTCTTTGACCTCCAAGCCACTCCATACCCTGCATTTCATAGGCACATCCATTTTCTAAAACTAGGGAGCTGAGTTTGAACAAACTGAAGCAACATCCGACATGTGTTGCCCTGAAGGATGTTGAATAGAGGTGAGTGGAGTTAATCTAAACCATTGTTGCATTTAGATTTGAATGACAATGTGGTTAATAACGGAGTGGCAAGAAAAATGGCAAGTTTCCATTTTCCCAGTAATCCTGCGGTTGGATTGTTTGATTTCTCTGCTTTGCATAAAATGACTGCTCCCTTGCCGGTCTTTCATGGCCTTCCTTCTTTCTTCAGTTTCACATTTCCCCCCCTTTTGAACAGATACTGAGACTACCTTGGGGGAAGCAAATTAAACCCTAAATTAAAAAGGTCAATATTTGATTCCCCCTAATTTTGAACAAGAGCTCCGGTAACCCGAACTCTGTACATACTCAGGGGCACGTCGGTCTTTCATATCGCTTTACAAGGTGGGAATGCAAAGTCCTGAGCAGGACCACCGGGCGCTCATCCTTGCCCAAGGCTTTCATTGCTTTTATGCAGCCTTTTCAGCAACTTGCTCTATGATAGGCATTTTCACTCTGGGTCTGATCAGATTTACTGCTTTCTCTTTCTCTCTCTCAAAATTGTCCCTGCGGCTTTCTTTCCCACCAGGATCAAATGATGCCGTTGCTCCCGACTTTCCACCACAGGCGCTTGGCTCAAGGGACGATCATTCTCCAGACGCAGCAATTGTCAAACACAGAGAGGGTATTTATAGTAAGAAGGCTGCTCACAGGACGGCTTGGATGGAGGAGAACGTAGCAATGACGGGTGGTCCCAGAGGTAATGTGTTTCTGACGACTCAGTGTGTTTTTAGGGCAGTGTTTCTCAACCCTGTCGACTTTAAGCTGTGTGGACTTCAACTCCCAGAATTCCCCAGCCAGCCCTGCTGGCTGGGGAATTCTGGGAGTTGAAGTCCACACAGCTTAAAGTCAACAAGGTTGAGAAACACTGCTTTAGAAAAACAGCTGCCAGTACCCCTTTTTAGCCTCTTATTCAGAAAAATATGATTCGGTAGAAATTTTTGGGCTACAGTATGGCTCCAGCATGGCCCAAAATTGCTCTTTCAGCCAGGGACATAGAGAACACGGAACCGCGTACTGTGTGTTCAGCAGCCAGAGAGGACTAGCTGAAGACAGTAATATCTGAAAACTAAAGCCCCAGTGTAATCTCACCACCATAGCTTTTGAAGAAGAACTGAAGTTAAAGGGTGGTCTTTTTAAAAAAACCATCGTTCCCTTTGCTTACAGAAAGAGCAGTCATGCAAGTTTCTGGTGCATTGTGTTGTTCTTGTGTCTGTGGCCATCTGCAGTGGTTTATTATCCTTTTTTTTCTTTGTATAATATGGGAAGTAGCTGTACTCAGAAGAAAAGTGTAAAACCATGTTGGCCCGCAAGCTCTTTGCCCTCCGCTCTAATCAACCACATTGGAGTTGGGTGGGAGCACAAGAGTCAGTCTTTTCTCCCACCCGCAAATGCTAGAAAGGGGTTGCCGTTCACCCCCCTTGTTGCAAATGCTGCTCCTTAGGCCTACTCAATCACAGGAGAGTTTTTCCCAGGACGGTTAGCTATTAAATTTCTACCTTAGCCGAATCAGGAGAAGATCCAGTCCCCCATCCAATACTGTTGGTCTCATCAGGATGACTTAGCTAATGCGAAACTGGTGATCGGGGCCTCTGCACTGCTAACCTAATATTCTCAGACAGAATACGTCTGCCCTAGAGAGAGTCACTGAGTCACTGAGTTACACAGCATCCTGAGCGTGGAGGCCCTGGGCATGCACGCCGCAAAACAGATTTCTACTCTGTCGTTGCTGTCCTCCACATGTTCAGTTGGTTAAAAAAAAAAAGCGATGAGTCCTAAAGAGGAAAGATTCTTGATGTCTGCATGTTGAGGTGATGTCACAGTGGATCATGTCTGGTTGGGATTCTGCTGCAGCAATGTTTCTCAGGAGTGTCAGTGGACCTTTAAGGGAGACAGTGGACAGTAACAGCCTTCTGGTTGAGGATCTCCTATAGGGTACGTTTCTTAGGCAAAATATCAAAGCTTCATTTGATTATCTTCCTGCTAATTCCCGTGGCCGCTTAGAATTTCCCAACCTTTTTGAATATTAGTGGTAGACCTATTACTGTTTCCTCCTTTCTGAACCGCTTAGCCCCAGTCTAAGGAAAATAGAAATAAACAGTGTGAGGTGGGTTTTCAGCACAGTTGGAAGTGGCTTTGCCAGGATCAAGGCAGCTGAAAGTAAAATCTCTTCAGCACCTAGGAGCGATCTCCCCTGGCAATGGGCGGCTGTGTAAGTCTTTCGAATGAATAAATATGGAAGAAGTCAGCTAATCTATCTGATTCGGTGCCTTTAGAATGGAAACTGTCATGCAGTATAAATAATGCCTCTGCCCTAAACGAACGTGATGTCTAACATTTCCTTTTTCTCTCCCCCCGCTCACCTTTTGCTTAGAAAGCATCACTGCCCGAAGTTCCCTGGAATCTCTGAAAGCGACCCATTCTGTCTTTGGATCTCCTCAGTTTTACCCGCAGCGCCCAGCACCTCTGCAGGATGACCCGGATTTCTTTCCTGGAAGCAAGGCTTTGGGGCAGGATGCAGCATCCAGGGGTCCAGCCCCTCCTTCCCAAGATTTATTCCAGCATAAGGGAATACTAGAGAGCAGCCCATCACCGCCCCCTCCTCTGCATCTGGCCAAACGGGAGGACAGCTTTGCCCCGCTGAATGGTGAGGTAGATGACAGTGTTCTCGAGGAATTGAAGATCAAGGGCCCTTCAAAGAAAGACTTGCCTGACACCAAAAGGCCCGGCTTTGAAATAGCTAGTGAACTTCTTTTGGGAAGCCGACCGATTAGTTTCAAGGAGAAGCCAGTCGCTGATCCACCAAGGGTGCAAAGCACTCATTTAACCAGCAGTCTGGATGATCTCTGGGCCAAGTATTTGGAGCGACAGAAGCAGCATCAGCAGCTGAGCCCCGGCGGCGGCGGCAGGACTGAACTTTCTCTCGTGGAGCGGCTGGACCGCTTGGCCCGGCTGCTGCAGAATCCCGTTCGGCATTCCCTGGCACTTGTCCTGGAGGACCGGAACAGCAGCCAGGAGGAACCCAAGAGGAAAGAGCCAGGGGTCGCCAGCTCTCGAGGCAAAAAGATGGCGGCCAGAAAGAAAGTGGCTTCGCAGCCCAGCATAGGAACGGTGGAAGAGGCCCCTGTGGCCCCCAGCAGTGCCTGGCAGCCGAGGTCTGGTCGTCCTAAAACTGGAGACGCCGCGGCTGTTGACCGCATGGATAGAAAGTGGGAGCAGTCCCAGAACTCGGAGACTCTGAGTGACGTTTCTTCCGAAATGAGGCCTGTGAGAGACTCCAGCATGTTAACTGACGTGACCTCCGAATCCGAGGTGACTCGGGCAGAAACAGATAGCGCCACTCAGACCGAGGCAAGTGAATCTGTTTCTACAATCAACACAGCCAGGCTGATCAGGGCTTTTGGGCATGACAGAGTGCAGGCGTCTCCCAAACTGTCCCAGCTGTACAGCACCATTAACTTGCAAAAGACGCGTTCTGAGACCTGGGCCAAGCGAAGCAAGAAAGCCAGGGGTGCCGGCTGCCCAAAACTGGTTCAGGCCGAACAAAAAAGAAAAGATGTTCAGGTATGCGATTAATGGGTAACAACCTTGTCACCACTCTGTGATGTATGTAACCTATAGCAGCCTTCCCCAGCCTGGGGTCCTGCCAGGTAGATAAGCCATTTCCCACAGTTCTCAGTGACAGTGGCAATGCTGGCTGGGAGATTCTGGGATTTGAACTCTGGGGGATGTCTAGGTTGAGGGAGGTAGATCTGCATGAAGGGAAGGGAGAGAAGGGAAGAAAGGAAGGCAGGGAGGGAGGGAAGACTTAGGCATTGGGGTGGGAAGCATAAGTTTAATTTGGCTGGCCTCTTATACATGCCTCCAGCATTCTTCAGCCATGATTTATATATCAGTGGGACTGGAAAGTTCTGCTCGTTTTAAGCACATGCATACACCTACACATCCTTATCCATTGACTCTCAAGTGCTTTTTTGAGAGGTCTTTCACGAGTATTATAGACTTGCACAAAGCATTCGGGTAAGAGCTCACAGTAAGCCACCATCCAACATCTGATGCCTTTGCTGAAGGTGAGACCAGTTGCACTCCCACCCATCTGGAGGGGCCTGCTTGGGAGTTCCCTGATCAAGTCAGTCCTTTCCTTGGCTGTTACACACACACTGTGGACAGTTAAAATGAAGTACACATTTCTCTGGCCCTCTCGGAAGGCTAGCCAGTCCAAACTATGGGAAGCATTTGTGCAGTTGTGTAAGTAGTTACCGTTACGTCTGTTCCCCACTTAAATCGGCCGCTGATTACCCCTCTGGCATCCCATTATGTCTTGTTTAGCCATCGAACGAAAGGATAACACTAAAATGAACTTTCCGACACCCAGTCTTGTTTGAATGTTTTAGCCTTGATGCCTGAGATTTGTCCCCTATATTGGCCCTTCTGATATTTCTGTACGCACACACTGTTCCTTGATGCTTCCAGCTTCAAGTAAGTCAACCTTTATAATGGGGAGGAAGCTAGCAGTGGAATATTTAAGCAGTGAATATGAGCTGCTGAGCCCTCTGACGATACCAGTCAATCTTATTTTGAAATTGAGAACTTCTTCAATCTTGTGACAAGAATAAAACAGAAAAGATGCTGCTTCTTTGCTTTTCCTCCTGATGTTGATTGCCAGAATCAAGGTATTCAGGAGGCCTTAATAAAAGTTCGAGATTTTGAGACTCTTGGGTAGGACAAGCCAAATAATTTGCTGCAGAAAATTTGGGGACGTTTTGTAACGTAATTTGGGGACGGGCTCTGATAGTGATTAAGTTTTACTACGCAACACCAACATTCGAATCTTATCACACTCTAGAGTCTAAGTGGGAGAGGTCATTGTTTTTATAAGGCTGACAAAGCCTGATGCTCTCTTTTTGGTACTTAACAATGCTTAGAATCTTACTTTAGTGGCAAGACAGCAAAAATCCATTGGGTGGTGGCATAAGATTATAATTTTCATTCATTCCGCCACGGTTGTTGGCTCTGCTACGGTTTGCCATTTCTTCCCCGGAAGTCTGTATTATGCCCAAAATATCTTAGAGAACTTTTGACAGCAGTAATTGATGTCCTCTGAAATTCAGCGGAGCGGTAATGTCTGAATGGAAATGTTTGATGGGTGCAAGTGGAAATCTCTGAGTTTGCTAATGAATGCCTTGTTCTTCTTCCTCCTCGTCTACACTACGGAGCTATGAATTATTAATAGAAAACAAGTTGCTGCAATTAATTTGGTTGTACTCATCATTTTCCCTCCTCAACTTTACTGCACATTGAGTAAAAATCAATTTGTTTTTGTAATTAAAACATAAATGTGACAAATTTTGTAATAGCCGTTTGCTACATTATGAAGAAAAGAATACCGTCATTAACTGACATGGTATTTAAGCAACAGCAGCCATGTTTATGCAACTATTAAGATTTGGATAATTAACTCCATTTTTAATCCTGGACAAAACTACTCCCCCCGAGCAGTATTTTTTTCTTAAAAAATGTGTTCCAGCCTCTCCATTTGCCAATAAATTATACACATTAAACAGGAGCAATTATTAAAAACAACATTTCTGTGGCCTGTTAAACACTGACTTGCACAGATGCTGCTGCTAAGATAACCAAATATGTAATCTGTGGAAGCTTACCCAGGAAATACTGGAATTCTTGAGATGTGCATAACATCTGCCTCTCCCCCCCCCCCCCCCCCATTTAATTCACTTGCCAATTTTCCTTTCTGTCTTTGGAGGCAAACAGTGAATGGTTACGTGGGCCTGACTTGGTTCTAGGCTTCTGTTGACGGAGCAGGGGCTGCATTACCTCTTCAATTAGGAATTATCGCCTCTCCGTGGGTCTTTTTTGCCCTGCTGCTTCAATCAGAGGCCGGAGTCACAGTCTCACCCACTGTGCCTGTGATCCTGCTAAATGCTATTTGTGGACAGCAGCGAGCCTGGTCAGAAGGCAGGATGTATGTCAGCGGGTGTGTGAAAATTCACAGCATGCCTGCTCACCCCATTGTCTTGGAGTCAGGCCAACGGCAGATCTTGCTGACCCACCTGTTTCATCTTCCAATCTTGCTTCATGTCCTTTGATTGTCCGTTAAGGAAGCCAAGTAGGATCCTACACATTTCACTCCTGTTGGCCAGTTTAGTATATATACCAGTTTGGCAGTGATTCCTGCTATGCAAAGTTTATTGTTTTCATAGCATATTTGTAAGGCAAGTAACGTAGGAACCATGCTTCTCCCATCGGAGTGAAGTGTCCTATCATTCAGGGCTGTCCATTTTCATCAAGAGCAATTGCAACCGAAAGCTGAAAATGGCCAGTTGCTTTAATACGGATGTAACCAAAATCAAAACCACCGTTGCCATCCGAAGCAGCTACTCTATGCTTGCAGTCTCTACCTTTGTGACCCAGAATTGGATGGTCTGTATTGCAGGTAAACTATCCAGGTGAAATCACTTTTTCAGTTGGGAGGAAGGTGCATAGATTGCATTGTGAAGATACATAAATGATTGGTCAAGACTTCACATTTCTGAACTCAGATTTGAATTTCTGGATTCAGACTCCTTTTTCCATTGCATCGGGACATGCCTAAAAGATGCCTTTTATCGTAAGCCAAATAGAATAGGGGTCATGGGGTTTGAGAATGCTAAATAGGGGAGAGAGAGTTGAGATTCCTCAAAGGAGAAATTGGATCGCGAGCCTCTGAAGTCCTGATCCATTGCTGTCTTGTTTCTTTTAGGCAACCACAGCTTTTGTGTCCTCGGATTCCGTTTCAAGCTTCAGCAGTTCCCACGGGCCAAGCCCTGCTCTCAGTTGCAAACGGATGTTAAATAAGGCCGTTCAAGCAGGTGAGTAGCTTCGGTTCGGCATCCAGCTCTCTTATCATTCTAGTGAATGAAGCAGGTTTGTTTGCAGGGTGTTCTCCCTCCAGATGCCTTGCAGCCTTTCAGCTCAGACCTTTTCACAAAAGAACAGTGAGCTGAATTCAAAGGCACCATGCCTCCTCTTTATCTGTACTGAGACCGTCAGTGCTGTGTTCTTACTGTAGGCTTCCTGACTCCTGACCTAATAAACCTTGCTTGGAGAAGTGATCTGTGCAGAGTCAAAAACGACTTCAAATAGTTCTCAGTTACTTGGCTGAGATGACTTAAGGTGGATTCTTCCTCAGGTTCTGCTCCTTGAAGGCTCCCTTCTTTTGTGTTCTGGGCCCAGACTGGTGCAAAAGCTGAAGCACATTATAGAGCTGAGCAGCAACCTCACTCCTGTTTCAGCAGAAGCCCAGCACCATAGTCAGTGCTGCTTACAAGAAGGAAGAAATAATATTGAAAAGGCCTAAGCAAGCACTAATTTCAGCCTTCTGTTCTGGGGTAGGGCTTTAGGAACATACATGTTCTGTACCACCTAATACTGACATTGACTTTGAGAGAGAGAGAGAGTGTGTGTGTGTATTTTTATTTATGGCCCAAAGACCCAAGACTTTTAGTATCTCCCACATAATCCAAGCATCCTGGGAGCCTTTACTATTTTTAAGTGAGAATCTACTCTGTGGTCATGATAGTTGAAGAACAAGATAATTGTTTCTGCAGGTACTTCAAAACCTAAAGTTTTAGCAAAATGCAAAGACATCTCGCCTTTTTGCATTCAGTCAACTTACCTTTTTGCATTAAGCAAACCTGCATTTTCAGAAAATAGACCTGGAAATTGGCACTGGGGAATTTGGTTGTGTTGGTAAAAACCTAACAAAATGACTAATTGGAAGACGGCCTTTCCCAAGTCGGCAGGATTTTTCTGCATGCTTATGGGTTACAGC